GTCTATTCTAAGTTTGCATACTATGAAAGAAATGCTAAGAATTGTTTGTGTTGATTGCTATGCATGGACAATGTCACAAACTAGTGATGTCAGTTCTGTAGAACCTTTTTGAACTAAGATTTTACAGAAAGTTTTCTGATTTTTTTTAAAAAAATTATTGGGGGAGGGTTCAAATGTCCACAACCAATTGGGATCTGAGTTAGCATGTCCTTATTTAATTACCGTATTTTTCGCACCATAAGACGCACTTTTCCCCCACAAAACAGGGGGTTGGAAAGTCTGTGCGTCTTATGGAGCGAAGAAAACAGATTATATTTTCCTGTTTTCTTCTCCTAAAAAATTGGTGTGTCTTATGGAAAGGTGCGTCTTATGGAGCGAAAAATACGGTAATATTTAGTATTTTTTCATTCTTAGAAACCTTTATTGGCATTATATGGTACAAGGGAGTACATAGCACAGTTACATTCCAGTTCCAGGTAAAGGGAGGGGCAGGCAAGGGGTTGTAGTAGGTTAGGTTCAAGAAAATTTATGTAATATTTAGTAAACATGATACTTTCTTATGAAAGCATTGAGTTGGAAGAGGGAGGGTCTAATATCATCAAACCCCTTCTCAGTGCAAGATAAGCAATGGAAAATGCAACTACTGGGATGGTGTATGTGCTTAAATAGTCTCCAACAGTCCTAACACATATGGTTGTAAGGAGGATAAAAGTGATGGAGGGATGTATATGGGATTTAATTGAAAATTAAATATATGGGCAAGTGCTTTATAGTGAAAAGGGTAATGGAAAGATTTTAAACTTGCATCACAAATCTCATTTCACGTTGACACTCTGGTGGCTTCATACATCTGTGTTTTTCTGGTACTAATAATGTCACAGTAGATTGGCTATATGACAATTCCTTCACATTCTGAAACTTAAAATTATTATTGTATCTCCAGATGATAGGGTGGGAAACTTTAGGCAAGGTAGTTTTCTCCTTGAGACCCTCCATGAGCAACGCACCATCCAGATTGGAAAAAAAACAAAAACAAAAAAACACACCAAAGTAGAAAAGGGCAAAAATCCACTTTTACTTACTTGCCTATTTTCTTACTTATTTATACATTTTCAAAATATCCTTTTGAAAATGCCCTTTTTCAAAAGACCCATTTTCAAAGGAGATTATGAAAAAGGGTATTTTCAAAAGGCTGTTTTGAAAGTTTATAAATAAATAGAATTTATTTTTCATAGGGGCAGTGACTTATTTAAACAATAAATCACTACCCCTGGAGATTTCTGATGGTAGTATTGTACCTATTATCACCTTTTCAAAATATCCTTTTGAAAATGCCCTTTTTCAAAAGACCCATTTTCAAAGGAGATTATGAAAAAGGGTATTTTCAAAAGGCTGTTTTGAAAGTTTATAAATAAATAGAATTTATTTTTCATAGGGGCAGTGACTTATTTAAACAATAAATCACTACCCCTGGAGATTTCTGATGGTAGTATTGTACCTATTATCACCAGAAGAACAGAGAAGGAGATCCAGGGAAAATCTGGTTAACACACGCTCACTTTGCCGACTCCTGAGTTATGGTCTGATTATTTGCTTGGATTCTGTGTAGCCGGTTACGACAACTAAAAATCTGTTTCGCTCCCATGCAGTGCAAGTTGTGTATAGAATAAAATGACTTAAGCTGTGTTGCATATAGAGCAGAAGGGAACCAGGATGGTGTTTTCATTATATCTGTTTCCATCTACCACTGTTGTCTTTCCAGTTGCATGCTTCCTGGTGAAGCAGTTTATTCGCTTGACCCACTTCTCCAGTAGGCTTGCTGAATTAAATGCTTGTACTTCATTGCTTGCTCCAGAAGGCAGATGTGTGCAAAGCAATGAATCAATCTCCCTCCAGCCTTTCTCCAATCCAGAAGGAATACATCTATCTCACTAATCTTTGTTCCCTGTATTTCTGTGATTGTAGCAAGAAATGTATGAATATGTAGCTTATTTTATTGCCATAAAAACAACTTGCATTTATTATAGAAAAAATGGTACATCAGAAATGATTTCTCGACTTGTCTTTAAAATCTGAACCTCAGAATTAAAGTAAACCTGAAATTAAAAGGATGAAGCCTTAAATTAAGTTGGAATAGTTCACTAAAATAATGAAGCCACTTTGCAATTTTAAAAATTACTGAATATATTTACAGACTCTGTTAAAAGAATAGCTTTCATTGTTGCAGCAAGTGCCTGAAAAACATATGGTTTGTTCACACCAATGTGTTATTAACATTTCCTAGTTATTCCCCCATGTGCTGTTTTGCATATTCCATTCACTATTTTCCATCTTAAGAGTCAGTGGGAAAGTTGTAATTCAGAGATGTGAGCTCATTTGATGATGGTGTGACATTACCCAGCCCTTGTCTGCCAGTGAAAAATATCCAGATATAGCTATTATGGAATTGAATCACTGAATTCACTGATATATGTATCTCACTCACATACACACTCTATATATAGAGAGAGCAGTTTAGCAGACAGTAACCTTTCATTCTGTTGACAAAGCCTAGTTAGAGCAAATAAACTGGAGCTGAAAGTGTTTGGGTGAGCCTCTCCCGGTCCTGAGATTATTCCTGGCTCTCCCTCCCCTTCCCTTCTCCCTCACCCTGTTCCCTGCAGTTTGCACAGGAGCGTGGTGTGTTTGTTACATCACTATTTTCCTTCCCGTTTTGTGGCCTGTGCTGCAGTGTTTCATCTGGCCAATCAGATAGCAACATTCCCAGCACGCCCGGGCCAATCCGGAGCCTCTCTTTGCTGGAAATATGAAGCCCTAGGGGAAGGCAATAACAAAAGCCTTTCACTGCAGACAAATGTTAAGTGTCTGTGCAGACTTTTCCTGTTTTTAATTTTATTACTCCAAGAATAGAGGGCTTGTTGTCTCTTTCATGTTTTCCCTTTCAAGCAATTTTAATTATACATTTGTGTTACATTAGAGACCTAGGAACAAAGCGAAGCAGCCTATTGCATCTTAAGCTAAAAATGCAGTAACCTCCTGGCAGCGCCACTATATTCCAGTGCTGTAAATATAGCTGACATGCTGAAGAATTGTAAGCAGTTGGAAAGGTCTCTGACACCACACACAGTGCCCTAGAGAGCAAATGATGAGAAAAACAGACCACTCTTTTTTCACAGTGCTATCTGGTGTTTTTAAATCTATATAGGGGTGGGAATGAAGTGTGTTTTTCCAGCTGCTAAATTTGCCATGAACAGAAAAGAGGCATGAAAATAAACAAATTTAATTGCTGTTAGTCTTACCTCAGCAAAGATGTTATCTTTCATATCTGGAATTTGCTTTTAAAAAAAATCTTAACCAGGATATGTACTCTATACGGAGTGCTATTGTCATTTTACAATAACAAATCAAAACTATGCAGGGAACTCTTTTTTCTTCTGATACACCACTGAAAATGCTGAAAGGAAATCCCTTCTTGCCTAGCACTTTAGCTAATAGCATTTCAAAATACTTTCCTGCTGTTAAAAAGTACCCAGAGGAAATATGTTGTAGGTTACATGTTTTCTTTACGTTGGTGCAGCAATCTGGGGAAAGGTTTAATGCAAATTTAGAAATCACAGTGGTGACGTAAACCAAGCCGACAAGCTGGAAACATGAGGCATGATTTCATTATTTATCTTAAGTCTTTATTATTTCACTGCTTGAAAAACAGGAATTGGAACTATGTGACTCAAAAGTTGCAGTATGGGATAAAACCTCATTCAGATATGGCAACTGATTTTAAATATTCAGAAAGAATTTCTTGCAACTAAATCATATTCTTTCAAGGCTTTTTCATCACATATTTTAATGCTCTGAAAACAGAAATGACTGTTATGGGTATATATATTTCATCTAATGAATTAGAAATGTCATTGTGTTCAGTAGCCCATGAGCCTAATTGTTATAAATGGTCTTCATCTGTGAGAGGAGTAATGATGAGAAACCTGATAGCTTTTGTTTGTTTGTATAGTAAAGGATTGGGGAAGATTTCTTGGCACACTGATTTTCAGGTCTCCTTTCTTTGTAAAAAAGAGAGAGAGAAGGAGAAAGAGAGGAAAGAAAGCAAAAGAAATTTGAAAAGTATAATGATACTGGTTTTTCTCCAAAGATTTGCCTGTTTAGATTGTGGTAAAGATAAATGAAGGCCATCCCATGTTGCCCTGTAAATAATGCATCTATATTGTCCCTATTGAATGACATACTATATAATGTGCAGTGTGTCTTTAAAATATGTATAATTCCAAATAACGTGCCAGATTCTTCACAAGTCACTGTTTTAAGCACTAGTCAGTTTGTGCTAGCGGCATGCCAAACAAAAGCAATTATGTGCAATAATAGCAAAATTAGAGATGAGTGTTGCTTTTTTACTGCAGATTGTAGAAAAAACCCATTTCCTTCTCACAGCTGTATCTTGATTATTCTTTCTTTTTGTGTCTTGTCTATACACACTTTCCTGGAGGTTTAATTAGAGATCTCTGAAACTCAGAAAGAGGAAGCATCTATAATGTAATCTCTGCAAGCAAATGAGAGAATATTCCTTCCTTCCTTCAAGTTCCAAAATCTTTTTTCACACAGTAATTATATTTGGAGATGAGTGGGTGGAGCCCTGTAGTCTTTGTACATAATCCAAAGGCAGCGGATTATATTAGGCATGTAAAAAATAAAAAACATAAGATAACTTTTAACCTAGTACAGGTCTTCATCAGACTTGGAACAATAGAGCTGGAGATGACACAGAAAAACATTTTAAAAATCGAAAAATCATGGCCAAGTGTGTTTACCAGGTTCATTTCAAAATGGGGAAGGAAGTTTCAAAATGGAGGCTGAAGGCTCAGGTCAGAGGGGTAGCTTTCAGATTCTACCGATGGTAGTGTTGATTGGAATGTCACTCGCAATCTTGTTAGACAAAGAGTTACCTGTCACTCTGTCGTTCAGTGATAATATTTGTTTCTCATCTGCAGGTGTCCTAGTTGTAAATGTGACGTGGAGAAATAAAACCTATGTTGGAACCTTGCTTGATTGCACAAAACATGATTGGGCTCCTCCCAGGTAAGCAGACTTGTTGAGTCTGTTTTTTCTCAGCTACTTCCAGAGTCTGATATAAAACTGGACAGAGACTAATAAAAAACCAGTTTCATGCAACTGAAACCATATATAAAAAGAGTAGAGTCTCACTTTAGGTGTGATAAAATGTGGTCATTGAAGGCAGATTTTCCCCCTCTGTGTTGTTAAAAATGATATTGGTATTGAATTGCTACATTTCATGCCTTGAGGTCCATAGGAGGGGGTGTATTTTGGGGTGCTTCGACCTCCCAAGGCATTATGGATGATAACCATCCAGGAGATCATCTACATGGTAGCACTCGTTCTTTGGATCATCTTGCTGAGTGAGGCTGGGCCAGTGTTCTCCCTTCCTTTCTTCAGCAGGCTAATCCCAGATCTTAACGAAAGCTGGTGTGTTGTAGTAGTTAGTTAGACTAGGACTCCGGAGATGTGAATTCAGATCCCCACTTGTCCATGAAGCTTAGCGGCTGACCTTGGGCCAACCAGCCTCATTCACTCAGCCTGACTTACCTCACAGGCTTGTGGGAGGATAACTTGATGAAGAGGAGAAGAGCTTTGTTTGCCTCCTTGAAGTCACTGGAGAAGAGGCAAGATGTAATGTACAACAGTAATAGTAACAACAGTAGCAACTGAAACTTTTTTTTAGAATTGACTCTTCTTGCGCTCCATGCTGTTGCTTTATTGTATTTGTCTCTGTATTATATTCTGACTTTTATTCATTTTATCTTTATCTTTATTGTTTTTAAAGACTGGGAAGCTGGGTATAAGTATACATAGGAAAAATAGAAACAAATCTTCAACAAGAGGTGTACAGATTAGCCCTTTCTTGTTCTTCTTTTCAAGATGACATTATTAGAGTTTCTTTTTTCCGTCTTCAGCTAAGTGCTACTGAGGCAGTTCTTTGTGGCCTGCATATTGGTGTCATATATGCTAAGTCTGTCTTTTCTTATTACAGTGTTATAGTCTGATTTTGTTGTTGTTTTCCTTGTCTGCTTAATTCTGGTTTTATTTACCCAGGTTTTGTGAATCACCAACAAGTGACCTAGAAATGCGAGGAGGTCGGGGCAGAGGGAAACGGGCAAGATCTGCAGCAGCTGCAACTGCACCAGGAACGGACATTAGCTTTACAGAGTCCAGAGGACTGCAGAACAAGAACAGAGGTGGGGCCAACGGAAAAGGGAGACGAGGCAGCCTTAATTCCAGTGGCCGCAGGACACCCCCAAATTGTGCCATGGAGGATGTCAAAGTCAGTCCCTTGTCCACCAATAAGAGGAAGAACAAGCCACCCATGGAGTTAGACTTGAACTCCAGTTCGGAGGACAATAAATCTGGAAAGCGTGTTCGTACCAATTCTAGAAGCACTCCAACCACTCCCCAGGGGAAGCCAGAGACTACTTTTTTGGACCAAGGCTGTTCTTCTCCTGTTTTGATTGATTGCCCCCATCCCAACTGCAACAAAAAATACAAGCACATTAATGGATTGAGGTATCACCAGGCTCATGCACATTTAGACCCAGAAAATAAACTGGAATTTGAGCCAGACAGTGAAGACAAAATCTCGGATTGTGAGGAAGCGCTTAGCAATGTGGCACTTGAATGCAATGAGCCAAGCACAAGTTTATCACATTTTGACCCACTGAAGGCACCGACTTCTCCTTGTTCCCTCAGTACCCCTGGGACACCAAAGGGAAAAAGGGAACAAGCTAGTAATGGCAGGAATTCTGGGAAAAAGAGGGGATTAAACAATGAATTGAACAGCCTACCAGTAATTTCTAATATGACGGTGACGTTGGAGAACTGCTCAGTAGCCGAAAGCAATTTGGCCACTGAAATGCCCAAATTAGAGGCTGAAGGACTAATAGCCAAAAAAACTGTAGGAGAGAAAGACAAAGGCAAAAAAGCCAGTAACTGTAAAGTAGATAAAAACCTTTCGAAGCTTAAAACTGCCAGACCCATTGCACCAGCACCAGCTCCAACGCCACCTCAGTTAATAGCTATACCTACGGCAGCCTTTACAGCCACCACAACTGGTTCAATACCAGGGTTGCCCTCACTAACAACTACTGTTGTGCAGGCTACACCAAAGAGCCCTCCGCTAAAACCTATTCAACCAAAGCCCACAATTATGGGAGAGCCAAGCACTGTAAACCCAGCTCTCACGTTGCTGAAAGACAAAAAGAAAAAAGAGAAGAGAAAGCTGAAGGACAAAGAAAGTGGAAGTCCTAAAATGGAATTGAAGCTGGGAAAGTTAGAGGACACAAAGGGGTCTGGGAAAGAGATTGCTGAGCATTTTTTAAAGGAACATCTCAGCAAGAGTGAAGTGTTAGCTAATGGGCTGTCGGAGTCTCAAGAGAGTAGGATGGCAAGCATTAAAGCTGAGGCTGATAAGGTTTACACTTTCACAGACAATGCCCCCAGCCCTTCTATAGGGAGTGCCTCAAGAATGGAATGCAGCACTTTGGTGAATGGGCAGTCTTCAATGGCGCCATTACATGTGTTGACACAGAATGGGGCAGAGGGTGCTGCTGCTAAAACCAACAGCCCGGCTTACTCTGATATCTCGGATGCTGCGGACGATGGCGGTTCTGACAGCAGGTCAGAGGGCATGAGGTCAAAGGCCAGCTCCCCTTCAGATATTATTACTAATAAGGACAGTGTTGTAAAAGGGCATTCCTCAGCCCCTGCACCACCACCCCAAGTCAAAGAGTCCCATTCTCCCTATTACCATGGTTACGATCCTTATTATTCTCCAAGTTACATGCATTCTGGGCAGGGCAGCACTCCTGCAGCTGGGAACAGCAACAACACACAGGGAATGAAGATAAAAAAGGAAACTGAAGAAGAGGCTGAGAAGAAAGACAAGGCAGAGCCGGCAGAGTCCAAAAAAAGCGAAGCCAATTCCACTAACTTGCAGCCTCAACACCAGTCAGTCATAACTCAGAGGCACCCTGCACTCGCCCAGTCACTTTACTATGGCCAGTATGCTTATGGGCTTTACATGGACCAAAAGTCCTTAATGACTTCTAATCCAGCTTACAGACAGCAGTATGAAAAATATTATGAGGACCAGAGGTTGGCAGAGCAGAAAATGGCACAAAGTGGTGGGAGAGATTGTGAGAGGAAAAGTGAACTCCCCTTAAAAGACCCAGGGAAGGATGAGAAGCTGAAAAACATTCCCTCGGCTACTATCTCAAAAGCGCCTTCAACACCCGAGGCCAGTAAAAACAATTCCAAAATGGGGTCATCGGTCCCTAATAAAACAGAGGAGACGAGCAAATCACAGATTCTTTCCAATCACCAGCAGCAGATTCAGTCAGATAGCTTTAAAGCAAAACAAATGGAAAACCACCAGCTTATAAAGGAGGCTGTGGAAATGAAATCTGTAATGGATTCAATGAAACAGACTGGAGTAGATCCTACAACAAGGTTTAAACAGGTGAGACTCTAGGCATACTGATTTCAAGCCTAGATAGTTCATAATAGGCAGTGAAAAGGATTTTAGCGTAGATTTAGGTTGTCATCCCCATGTGTACTCCCAGAACATTAGCACTGTTGACAATGGTGGGACTTTTAGGATTGTGTTATTGGTGTCTTCTTGTTGCTTCAAATGAAAGATTTTTTTTGTCACCAAACTTGCCTTCTGTAGGTATAGTATATTCTCTCTTGATGATAATATGGCAGCAGACATTGCATGCAGATGCCCCCAAGAAGCAAGTGAATGTTACCCCATCTGGCTTCTGACTGTGTAGCTGCGCAACAGGATATAATCCTTTATTTTATGTAATAGAGTAGGGATAAATAATTTCTTTCGGAAGGTTATTGTTTTTCTTTGGTTACTACACTTGCAGCCCTTCTGTTGAAGAGTTCAGTATTTTAAAAAATATAAATACTGTATATAACAATGCCCACATGCTTTGGTACTCCTTCATTACTTGTTCAGGCGGCTTATATTCTTAGCTTTTGCTTTAAAGCCATGGAGTTCTTCTGTGATAATCCTAAATGTATGTACTAGCCAACTTTGAAGTGTCTTATTTTAGGCGTGGCCCACACCATAAACTTTGCATGGTGATTTTTTCTCTCACTGATTTCCTTTCAACAGTATTACTGGGTGTCATCTCACAAAATGCATCCAGTTTCTAAAGGTTTGCTACAAGGCAGAGATGGGGACTGCAAGTCTTCAGGCCTACACTTTGAAGCCACCTTCAATTAGTTATGTAGCCTCTTGGAGCCTAGCCAGTATTCGAAGCCCAGATAACAGAAACATATTTTATTATTTCAATGCTGATAGTTTCTGTTTTAAACCTTTACTAACTTGTTAAAATGAGCATAACTGCAGCAGATTACAGTTTTGCTTGTAACATACAAGGCATATTTGTAATAATTGTTTCAAGAAATGTAAAACAAATTTCATAAATATACCAAACCATACAGTTAGATTTGCTAAGTGACTTATAATGTCTTTCATCTTAATAAAGCAACAAATTGTAGCTTAGATTTTTTTTTAAAAAAAATAGTGTTTGACATAGTTCAGTTTTTCTCTGGATTATTCCCCCCACCCCATCAGCTCATCGCACCCTCACCATTTGGATATATTATTTGTCTATAGTAGAAAATACTTCTGTTTCTCAGAATTATCACTTATTGTGCTGCACAACAAACAGAGTTTGCAGCTTATGGTGTTTCAAAAGTGTCATGAGACATGACAGAGGATCCTCTGTCTCACATGTTTAAGGACGTAGTGTAGCCCTTGGTTTGTGTCTCCAGTCATTTTCTTCAACCCCACTCACCCCATAACCAATATAGCTATGAATTTCGTTTGTTTTTATCATAAGAATTAAGAACAAATCCATGTGTTTTTCCTTTCCTTCTCATACAAGGACCCAGATACAAGAACATGGCATCATTACGTGTATCAGCCAAAATACCTTGATCAGCAGAAAACAGAGGAACTTGAACGTGAAAAGAAACTAAAGGAAGATAGCCCCAGAAAAACACCTAATAAGGATGCCCCCTTCTCCAGCCTTCCTATCTCATTAAACAGCATTAAAGAGGAGCCTAAAGAGATGAAGCGCTCTGATTCCCAATCACTGGAGGAGAACAAAATAAAAAATGATGATCGAAAGACTCCTGTAAATTGGAAGGAGTCTCGGGGTGCAAGAGTGGCTGTTTCCTCTCCGATGACTCAGCATCAGTCATATATACAATACTTGCACGCTTATCCTTACCCACAGATGTATGACCCTAATCATCCTGCATACCGTGCTGTGTCTCCTGTTCTCATGCACAGCTATCCAGGTATGTATCAAATGCAGCGAGGCAGGCATACAGGGGATAGGAGCCTTTCTATTTTGGCACTGTCGGTTAGCAACAAAGGAAAATTAGACGCTTCACAGATGACATTTGTTTTGCAGACTCCTAGGAGTGAAAGAGATTTAACACAAGCTGTTACTTTTTTATGAACTGTCAACATTCCCAGATACAGTTTCCACATTCCGTGACATTTGCTATGACCATTAAGCTGACAGATAGTTTATTGGCTGTAAAAATATTCTCAGTGCTTACTGTCAGAACCATTATAGTTACTATTCCTTTCACTTAAGAGGACCCATAAATGTTGGAAATGGCTGTAAGCTCAACCCTCTTTATAATTTCCATTCATTAGGTTGAATTAGCTGGGGTGGGGGTGGGCAATAAAACTGCTCGAATACAACTTTTCTAATCTGAATTTGATGTGTTTTGAATTGCCTGCTCCCAAATGTAAACAATAACTTGATGTGGCATTTATTTTCTATCTGCAGGGGCCTATCTCTCGCCAGGATTTCATTATCCTGTTTATGGGAAGATGTCCGGGAGAGAAGAGGTGGAAAAAGTCAATACCAGCCCTAGCATCAGCGTAAAATCAACCACTGAATCGAAAGCACTGGATTTGTTGCAGCAGCATGCCAACCAGTACCGCGGCAAGTCTCCTGCGGTAAGACATGTCTTGTTGCTATGGAATTGCATATATTAGAAACATGGGAAACAGTCCATCAACCCTCTCTTGTGGCTTTCTAGGAATTTTTCCAACCACACCTGGAGATACTGTTCCCTGGGAGTCTCTGATCTAAGTATTAAGCAGGTCTGACTCTGCTTAGCTTCTAAAATCAGATGAAATCTGTATGTTCAGGGTAGTGTAGTGCTACTGGGGAAGATGAAAATTGGGGGTCAAAGAGAATGAGCTTTATCTGGTGGCCTACTTTTGAAGCAGACTTGGGACTTTGGAATGCTCTCTATATGCTTATACAATGGCCTTTCTGCCAGCCAAACTCTTCAGAATTTGAAGAGTTCAGCCTGCTTCTTCCCTGCCTGCTGCTGGAAATAGTGTTGCTTGCAATTCTATATAATCGTGTGATACTGCATGTGCAGTGTTAGAAAGCAACAGAGGGACTCAGATGACAGCAGCCACCAAGGTGATGTCTGTGGATTGGGATGGCTCCTCTGTGCTTCCTGGAGTGTTTCATAAGTAACTGCAAACACAAGGGTGTTCAGAAGGGATGAGTGTGTATAAGTCAGTTTTCTGCAAAATAGCTTTATAGCCAAAGTACACTGGTTTGGATAGAAATTCAGGTGTATAGATAACTGATATTTCAGTTTGTATTATATCAAGGACTTAATTGAGAACTAAATAATAAACTTCTATTCAGGAGCTAAGGCTAAGGGAGCATTGGATATAATTTTAAATCTCAATTTTCTTTCAATATGACCTAGGTAGCTGTTCTTTAGTCAGGCCTTCCCTTCTGTCAATTCTTGAACTCTATCTTTTTGTTCTATCATTTCCCATCTTAAACACGCCATACTATTGATTTAATTGCTTAATGATCATTATGTTTTTATTGTATTTTCTGATATTTTATGACATTTGTAAGCCGCCCCAAGTAGACTCTGTCTAGGAGGGTGGGGTAGAAATCTAATAAATAAAATAAAATAAAATAAATATATTCCCCTTAAACAGGTCCACCACCCCAAAGTTCAGCATAAAAATAGAACTAAATAAAATCATTATGTACCAGATAAAGAGCACTGTAGTCTGTAGATTTTCTTTATTTTTGCAGTATCCAAGTGAAAATGAAAAACAGTGGATGCTTTAAAACAAGTTACAGCAGTTTTAATAGCTACAAAAGTCATTTGCCTTACAACCTTTAACAAAATGTGTTTGTGTTTGCGTCTCAACCAAGCGAGTCCTGGTTCTGTTCCCAGAATAAATTGCAATAGCTGAAGAGGAAGTAGGCCCAAGCTAGCAATGATCCACACATGAACTTTTCGCATCAACTAAATGCAAAGTAATTCAGATCTACACTGTTGAAAAATTATAAACCATAATGCGATCCTCTGAAATATTCTGCATCCTGAAATAGTGTGTTAATTGTTTTAACGCCTTGTGATTTTTAGCCTGTGGAAAAATCTACAACTGAGCGTGAGAGAGAAGCAGAGAGGGAACGAGATCGTCATTCCCCTTTTAGCCAGCGGCATCTTCATACACATCACCACACGCACGTTGGAATGGGATACCCACTAATTCCAGGGCAGTATGATCCATTTCAAGGTGAGCAAGAAAAAATTATTTGAGAGCCACTAAACTAATTGAACTCATTTTGATAACTTGGTATTAAGAATAATGCATAATCTGGGGTTCAGAATATAATAGTCTTGCAATTTTAAGTTTTTCTATTTCACATACAGTACTCTGTTTCCCTGAAAATAAGACTTAACCTGAAAATAAACCCTAGTATGATTTTTCAGGATGCTCGTCATATAAGCCCTACCCAAAAAATGAGTCCTCATTAAGTGAAACCCCGCCCTCCACCATTGTGCAGCAACCAGAATAAGATGACATGATTGTATTTGAATAAACGTAGATTGTTGTACATGAAAAAAAAACATCCCCTGAAAATAAGTTCTAATGCATTTTTGGAGCAAAAATTAATATAAAACCCTGTCTTTTTATCAGGGAAACATGGTAATAGTATCTTTTTAAAAGAAAGACATCACTAATATGCTTTATGTATTGGGTAATATATTGTAAGCATTTCAGAGCATGGTGAAAATTAGGATAAAACCGATAAAAGGGATGTAACAGATTCTATTTCCAATTATTACTTTGTGCAAAAATATAAACAGCATTGTATGAAATAAACCTCTTAAAAGAGCCCGTATTTTTCCCCCACAAGAAAAGTATTTATCATTTATTCTTAATATATTTGCAATCTTCAGAACTGGGGCTGTTTTTACTGTCCACATATTAATGGAAGTTTAGATCAGTTCATAGTCAGATAAACAAAGGCTCTTGGGAACTTTCCCCTCCTCTCTGTCCCTATATTCTAACAATATTAAAAGGAGGTGTTTTTTTAACCTGCTGAAAAAAGCTGCTGAAAAGAGCTGCTATAGTGTTTGTAGCTTAAATAACATTAATTCATTATGTTCTCTCAATGCTTTAGCAGCTCTTTTCTTTCTTGTGTAGAAGTCCTGACTGTTTCAAAATGCAGTTCAGTGGTTCCATGCGCCTTATGGGATACATTATGTGCATTCAAAAGGAAAAACGTTAAAATGATAGCTATTATGAAAGTATTATGTTCCGAATAGCTGCCACGTCATTGCTGTAACTCACTGTGACTTTTGAATCTTGTTTTTTCCTGGTGCCTATTATTTCTACTGAGCTTCCTATTCAGAATTTCATACAAGCCATTTAGCACCATGCAGTGCAGTACTTGGAAAAGAATACAATAAGGCGGAATGCCTTCTTCCCTTATAAAATGCCTATTAGATGGAATCTTAAGAAGGCATGCTGGTTAGAGCAGGCAGGCAGGTTTTTCCCCTTCTGCTTGCATGCAATAATTATGTATGCCTTCTGCACAGAGTACAGCAGTGCTGTTGTGATTCATGTCTTGTTAAAAATGAGGTCTGTAGCGATTGTTTCTTTGAGTACCAGCAAACTGAGGAAATGCATCCACTGAGATATACTGTTTCACCTTTCCTCCAGGGCTGACCTCTGCTGCCCTTGTTGCCACTCAGCAGGTGGCTGCTCAGGCATCTGCATCTGGTATGTTTCCTGCACAAAGAAGGTAAATGTCCTGTAAACCTTTAGTTATTCACAGACACAGAATTCTTAACAGGGGGAAGGGAAGGACTTTGCAGTTTTTCAGCATGGAGATCTATGTAGATTTTAGTACAGTGGTGCCCCGCATGGCAACGATAATCCGTGCAGCAAAAATCGTCACTATACGGATTCGTCGCTATGCGAAATTAAAAAGCCCATAGGAATGCATTGAAACCCCTTTCAATGGGGTAAGTTTTAAGTTCCTATGGGCTTAAAACTTACCTTTTAAGCGAAAATCATCCATACGGCGGTCATTTTAGATGCCCAGTAAGCGAGGAATCCATCCCTGTTTTACCAGGTGTCCATTTTGGAACCGCCGATCAGCTGGGGGAAAAACATCGCTATGCGAAAATCGGTAAGCGAAACAGCTTACCGATCATCGCAAAGCAAGTTTCCCCCATAGTAATCATCGTTATGCGATCGCAAAAGCGATCGCAAAAACATCGTCACTATGCGGATTCGTTGTTAAATGGGGCACCCGTTATGTGAGGCACCACTGTACTTACAGGGCAGACACTGGTTAATAGCAGCAGATTCTGCTCACAACCACATTTTCCACTGAGCTGTTGTTACAGCATATATAATTAATCATTGAAGCGGACTGTGCTCTCCTGAAGTATTTGAATACATCTTGCCCATCATATCAAACCAAATTCTTTAGAACAGCACACAGTAGGACTTCAGACTTCATCTGGTGTCTGTGTAGTTGTCTGTTCTCATTTGTAATCCACATGTTGCACCTCTTTCTGCCCTCTGCATATACCTGTAAGGAGCACCATGTTACCAGAAAATGAGAACAACAGTTTCAATTCGCACAGTCTGCAGTATGCATTTCTTTATGAATGATGTATGTGCTGCTAAACAGTTTTTCAGTCTTTAAAAAAAATGAATGCTTGTGTTATCAAACTGAAATTAGAGTTCTTCATCATAACTAAAACAACTCATTCTTACTCCCACCCACCCCCACGAAGAAATGCTCTTGGCTTATACGATTGAAAATACATTGTTCTAAAATAGTCTGTTTTCTTCTTTTATTTTTCAGAGAATGATAAATATGGAAATGTACATCATCATGTGACTGGATCACGTGGGGAAAAAAGCGCTTTATTAGAGACATCAGTTCCATGGTGTTAATTTGAAATGCCTTAATGGCAGGCAAAACCAGTCATTTCATTTTTGTAAATTACAGATTTTTATCACAGAGTAACAAATGTTGCTGTATTTAGACTTCTGTTTTATATATATATATATATATATGCTTATATATATATGAATATAAATATATATATATATTCTTTACTTTTTTGTATCGGTAATCAGGCTCACACAAAGAGCCTGCTGCTAAGTTGTAAACCACAAAGTAAATGGCGGGAAACTGTATTTGTCTTGTTCAGAAAGCATTAACCACAAAAGGATGTTTGTTTCTGTTTTCTTCCTTTTGCTTTTCCAAACTGTAAATAACTAACGTTCTGTATCTTTGTGCCTGAACCTTGCATACCCTTCTAATATTGCCCACAACCCTCCATAGAGGCTAACTGTGATGACGACGATGAAACTTTGGTACAATTTAGATGTCTATTTGGTGGCTCCTATTAAGATGCATCAGTGTAAAATGTTCCTGTATTAACTGTTTCATTGTAATTGTGTATTGTGAAGAATATACATTTGGAAGGCATGGGTTTGCCAGTACCACAAAAACTGTGTTGTACATAGTGTATAGATTTTAAATGGGGAAATAATGAGCATCTGTGAATAATGAAATGTCCTTTTTATAATCTTGAATGGCAAATAACCCAATAGCCTGCATACCAGAAGACGTCTGTGATTGTTCTATTACTTGAATAGTCCTGCAGTCTTTTTTTTAATGTTTACAATTATCCCGTTTTAGAAGAGAGACTTTAATGCCATTGCCTGGTTACTTGTTTTATGCTGTAATCTAGTTTATTTTATGTAAAATGTATATTGAATGCTTTCATTTTTATACCTGCCTTAAATAATTTGGCAATCAGAATTAAAAAAATGCTGTTTTTGTACTTTCTGGTGTCACCTGACTGACTTAGATTGTCAGGGCTTGCGACTTTTATAACATAGATATAAAAACTCTACAATGGGGTTTCAGAATGGGCATTGCAATACATTGGACAAGAAACATCACTTTCCATTTCCCTCATTCAAGTATAGTAGAACTGGCTTTACTGTCATGACTGGGAAATATAAAGTGGTGCCCCGCTTAACTATTACCCCGCTCCACGACGAATCCACTTAACGATTAGGTTTTTGCGATTGCAAAACGATGTTTAGATAGCAAAGAAACCCCACTTTACGATGTTCCGTTCCCTGCTTCGGGAACCGATTTTTCGCTTTACGACGATCAAAACAGCTGATTGTTGGGTTCCCAAAATGGCCGTCTGCTGTTCAAAATGGCTCCCCACTGTTTTAGGGACTGATTCTTCGCTCTACAGGGAGCAGAAAATGGCTGCCCTATGGAGGATCTTCGCTTTACAATGAGGTATTTCGTCCATTAGAACACATTAACCGGTTTCTAATGCGTTCTAATGGGCTTTTTACTTTTGCTTGACGACGATTTCGCTCTACAGTGATTTTGCTGGAATGAATTAACGTCGTCGAGCGAGGCACCACTGTAATTATTTTAGGGCAACTGCCATTAGAGTTCACATATGTTGTCATTAGTGATGCAAAGGATACCACCTCTGATAGTATGTGAACAGTCAAAACAGCATTCTATAAGCCCTTACTGATAGGAGGAAGCAGCCCAAACAAAAAGTTACAATTTTCATCAGGTTCTTGAACTGGGACCACATTTGGAAGAGTGATGATATTATGGGCTCTGCTCTGTGCCAGATTTGGAGAAATTTGGGCAAATACTTGTAAAGTGTGTATTTTTTTGTGTTTTGTTTATTTGTTTGTTTGTTTTGGAAAAGGCGCCATACAGTGTACCTTTTTTCTACCATTTTTTCATGGCATGTATCAAGTTCAGGAGTCATTTTTCAAATGCCTATCATTGCTTCCAGAAAAGGAAATGATTCCTGCTGGGTGCTTTTTTAAAAATTTGATGATGATCCATTCTGCTGCTTAGAAGATACATTACCTCAAATAGACTGGTTTTATATAGGAAGTATTTCATAAACTGCATGTCCTTCTTGAAGTTTTCTGCAGCAATTGCCTAAGCTTTGTGCCAGCATTTCATGAAACAAATGAGTCCATTGAGATGAATGAGGTTTACTTTTGGCAAGATGGTACCTTGGTACTTCAGCCTTTCCACAGGAATAATTATTACACAGAGAGAGAGAGAGAGAGAGAGAGAGAAGCCAGACAGAACATGAAAGAGAGCAGCCACAAAGACAGAAGTTACACAAAGAAAGGGGAGCGATGGAGAGAGAGAAACCATAAAGACGGAGAAGATAGAGGCTTCCAGAGAGAAGAGAGAGAATTTGTTCAAAAACAGCCATGATCATTGCTTTATATTTGGGTTAGAAATGATTCACTGATGGAAAAAGGAATCAGGTTCCAAGATTTTCCCTTGCTTGGTGTCTATTTGGGAATAATAGAATAAGTGGGGATCTTATAGACCAGTGGTTCTTAACCTTTGTTACTCGGATGTTTTTGAACTGCAACTCCCAGAAACCCCAGCCAGCACAGTTGGTGGTGAAGGCTTCTGGGAGTTGCAGTCCAAAACTCCTGAGTAACCCAAGGTTAAGAACCAGTGTTATAGACCATTGTGACCACAGGCATTGGTGTCATCAACATTCAGGCTGGCCTTTGTATGTAAACCTTAGCATCTTTTTTCCTGGTGGCAACATAGGCATCACATTGCAAGGCAGTATTGGACTATTTCCTAGCATTTGGATACAGAAGTAATAGCCCACATCCATAAACTGGAGGGTTTTTTGAAGGATTGAATTCCCTGTAATATTTGTCTCGTGGTCAAATGCTTTTCAGCTATAAGCAAGCAAAAATACTGGAAGTTTCTACAGTACTTGGGGATCTTTTTATGTATGGTGAAGTAAATTTCACTTTCTTTAAGTAAAAAAAGCTTCAGGGACATACAGAATGCAAGAGCTTTTATTGCAAAACCACTAATTTGTTTTACAAGTGACATGGCCTTGAGAGGGACTAGATTTTGCCTATTCGTGCTCTACATACCGGGAATAGCTGTGAGTCATTTAATTGATCAGTGCAATTTCATTTAGCATATTTGTTTCTCTTCGTTACTGAAGAATTAACCATAATCCATAGATTGCATTTTAAGGATAAAACTTGAGGCTTTAAAAAGTTTACCATAGGAAAAAGGAACACTGACAAGTGTTTTCCAACCTTAGGTAAAGGTAAAGGTTCCCCTTGACAATTTTTTCCAGTCGTGTTCGACTCTAGGGGGCGGTGCTCATCCCCGTTTCCAAGCCATAGAGCCAGCATTTTGTCCGAAGACAATCTCTCCGTGGTCACATGGCCAGTGCGACTTAGACACGGAACGCTGTTACCTTCCCACCGAGGTGGTCCCTATTAATCTACTCGCATTTGCATGCTTTCGAACCGCTAGGTTGGCGGGAGCTGGGACAAGCGACGGGCGCTCACTCCGTCGCGTGGATTCGATCTTACGACTGCTTGGTCTTCTGGCCCTGCAGCACAGGCTTCTGCGGTTCAGCCCGCAGCGCCACCACGTTCCAACCTTACATATCTATAAAATTGCTATTTAATAACAATGGTGGTGATTTACAAATATTGTACTACTGGAACATCCTGCATAGCAAAACTGTGCTTTATTACTGTATTTCTGCCTGAATATATTCGATAATGGCCAACATTTTGTTTCATTGCATTATACTTGGAAGGACATGAATAATTATATGGGTATGGAATAATTCATGACTAAGGCGAGGATTTCTGAGATCTAAAAATATCAAAAATATGCAATCATTTACTACTTTAAAAAATGTTTAATTATGAGCAATTCTAATCTCGAGATTAGACCACTGTAATGCGCTCTACGTGGGGCTATCTTTGAGATAGATGTGGAAGCTTCAAATGGTGCAGAATGTGGCAGCTAGATTACTTAGTGGAACGAGAAAATTCCAGCATATCTCTCCCATTCTGGCTGCTTTGTATTGGCTGCCCATTGGTTTCCGCATTTACTTCAAAGTGTTAATGATGACATACAAAGCCCTAAACGGTTTAGGACCTCAATACCTGGCAGAATGCCTTCTCCCACATAGATCTACTCGAGTCACTCGCTATAGCCAGGAAAGACGGCTGAGGGGTCTGACGCCGAGAGAGGACCAAAAGAAAGAACAAGAAACCAGGCCTTCTCGGCAGTGGCCCCTCGACTTTGGAACTGCTTGCCACTAGAGATTTGCCTGGCACCCCCCGGGTGTTTTCAAGAGCCAATTAAAAACTTTGCTCTTCAGGCAGGCTTTCCCTCCTGCCAATACTTAATTTCCACTTTTCTTGGTTTTTTGTTGTTATCTTCCCATCTTGATTATATTATTATTGTAGACTTTAATTGTTATTTTTTAATCCGTTTTTAAATGCCAAAACACACAATCTCCCTCTTTGGATACAAATTAACTTCTCTCCTTCTCTCCAGCTCTTCTTGGCTTCGCCTCCTTCAGGCTCTCCTGGGTAGGTTTACCTCCTGCATTCCCCACTAGCCAGTCACTTTATTTATCCTGTTACCAGGCAAAATTAGCTAGGGTTCTGTCACAAGGAGCAATTCCTTTGAATTTTTGTACTTGAAGAGCATTAGTGAACAATTTTTCCCCTCTGAAATTATCTGTTCTACATCAGGATAATTGCTTCAGATTTTTTTGGCCACTCTGTGTAAACCTTGTGTAAGGTATGTGATGTGATCATTTTTGGATGAAGAAGTTTAGGTCCCAATAATAATAATAATAATAATAATAATAATAATAATAATAATAATAATAATAATAATAATAATAATAATAATAATAATAATAATAATAATGATGTATGGAGTGGCATCTGTTATAAAGAGGAGGATGTTTTCCCTTCTCACACCATCCGGCCAGAGTAGTTTCATAGAATCACTGAAGAGCATAGCAATAGTGGAACTGTTACCATATTTTTTCGTTTATAAGACACCCCCACATTTATAAGATGGCCCCCCGCTTTTCTAACCCCCAAATTAAGAAAACCTAGCTTTGAATATTCAGCCTCTGGGCTCAGAACGTTCGGACTTTAGGAATCTCTGTTGAATCTGAGCCTACTGGCTCCACCTCCAACAAGGTGTGTTCCAATTGATATGTTCAGCATTAGGTTTCATAAGGCTCGTGATTGGAGGAAGCTAAGTCTCCTGACTGTAGGAAGCCTGTTTACAGTTGCAAGGTACAGGCCGTTTTGTTTTCTCCGTGTTCTCAGCTTACTTCCATTTAAAAGACGCCCCTCAATTTTCAGTCTAATGATTTTAGGAAACAGTAGTGTCTTATACATGGAAAAATATGGTACTTTTTACAGTGTTTCACATACTAGAAGAAATACTTCACCAGGCTTGTCACACTTCAGAGTGCCAATAATAACATTACTTACATATCTTCTGTTTACATCATTTGTTTCATCTATTGAAACTGTGCACCTTTCCATCAGCCACTGCAACCTGCTAGGTGAGTCAGACTGCCTCATGACTACCTGTGTCTCTCACATTGTCTGCTGGCTTGTCAGCAGGGTTGCCAATGACCAAAATATCATGAAAATATAAGACATATTAAAAAATTAAGGAGAAATATGATGCAACATTTTAAAAAGATCAAAATATGACTTTCCGGGCAAAATAAAAGAATGTAATCCTCACCAGATTACTCATAAATATGTTTAAACTTATTTATAAATTCAAATATAGGTTGCAGAAAAAATATGACATGCTATAGAAATCCTTACTCTATTTATAATGATGGTATGTATTTTAAATTCCACCTGGAAGCCTTGTGAGAAAAATGCAATATTAGTACAGCTACTAATCCAGTAATCCAGACACTAATA